TGCTTGCCAGGCAGGAGCTTATGCCACTGAGGTATATCCCCAGCCCTTGACCCATTTCACTTACCATTATGTTCTCAGGTTGCATCCATTTACTTACAAATGCCTCACGTTTATCTTTCTTTATGGCAGTGCAGTACTCCATTATGTATAAATACCACATTTTTCTTATCCATACATCTGTTGATGGACAGTATCCAAGATCCAGCTATTAAAAATTGTATTGCTATACACATGGATATACACGTATCCCTGTAATATGATGATTTTAACTGTTTGGGGCAGATACTTAGGAGGAGGGATAGCTGGGGGAAATGGAATTTCTCCTTTTAGATTTTGAGGAATCTCCACACTGATTTCCACAGTGGTTGCACTAGATTATATTCCCAGCAAGATGTAACAGAGTTCCTTCCCACACATCCTCGCCAGCATTTGTTACTGGATTTTTTGACGATAGCTCCTCTTCCTAAGGTAAGATATTATCTCAGTGTAGTTTTAATTTGCATTTCTCTGATAGCCAGCAATGATGTCCATTTTTTCATGTATTTATTGGCCATTTGTATTTCTCTTGAGAAGTGTCTATTCATTTCAACTACCCATTTTTGACTGAGTCTTTTATTTTTGGGGAGGGTCTAATTTTTCTGAGTTCTTTATATATCCTTGATGTTAGTCCTCTGTCCGTGGAACAGCTGGTAATTTTTTTTTCCCATTCTGTAGGCTGTCTGTTCACTCTGTTGGTGATTTCCTTTTCTATGCAGAAGGTTTTTAATTTTATAAAGTCCCCTTTGTGGATTCTTGGTATTATTTTTTGTGCCATGGGAGTTCTGTTCAGAAAGTCCTTGCTACGCCTATGTCTTCAAGAGTTGTACATATTTTATCTTCCAGCAGATTGTTTCTGTTTTGACATCTAGATTTTTAATCTATTTAGATTTTAGTTTAGTACCTGGTGGGATACATGGGCCTAGACTCGATGTCCAGCATGTGGCGCTCCAATTTTCCCAGCATCCTTTGTTAAACGGGTTCTCTTTCCTCCAGTGTACGTTTGTGGCTCCTTTGTCACAGATCAAATAGCTGCATGTGCCTGGGGTTGCTGCCGGTTCTGTTCTGTCCCATTGACCCACATGACTGTTTTTGTGCCAGCATCATGCTGTTTTAATCACTACAGCTTTATAGTATAACTTCAAGTCTAGGATTGTGTTCTGTGCTTTTCAAATGCAAGTGAAGATGAATAAAACAACAGAAGCCACCTTATGGCTTTCCAAATCACACATGTTCATTATCATCCAGCCACCGATGACATAAATTTTAAGACTGGTCCATCAGGATGCAAGCATTTATTGGCCCAGCTTCCCTCTTCCCATGTCACTTGCCACTGCAGCCACCCAAGGAAATGAAGGAAAGATGGGGGGGTCATCTGAAGGTGATGAGAAGATGGGGCAGAGAGAGGAATGGCCACAAGCCAAGGTATGCTGACAGCTACACAAACTGGAGGAAGCAAGGAACAGATTGGTCCTCAGAATTCCTGAGGGAGTGGTGCTCTGCTAATGCTTTGATTTAGGGCTTTGAGGTCATCATCACCTCTGGGGGTAATGATGTAATGATGATATTTTAGATGTCATCATTAGCCGCTGACCACCCTGTCTCCTGAGACAAGGCTCCTCAGTGAGGAGAGGCAGACTTGTGTCTAGAAGGACCCGGGTCACAAAGGAAATGCTCAGCTAAGCTCCCCAGCAGTGTCTGAGTATCGGTGGGTGGGTCACTGCCTACTTCACAGTAGCTGCTCACTGACTTCTTTTGCCCCAGCTCACCGTAGGCACAAAACTAGAAAATACAGAGACCAGGAAAGAACTTGGAAATAACCTGTTCCCACTGGCATTACCATCGGTGCCCACTCTGTGCCAGACCCTGAGAAGACAAATACTGACAATGACAATAACTAGCATTAAATGTGTGCCTACCGATTCCAAACACTATTCTGAGTACTTTGCAGATCATAGCTCAGTTAATCATGACTGTATGCTAGATGACAGATGCTATTTCTATTCCCATTTTGCAGATGAGGAAACTGAGGCACAGAAAGCAACTTGCCCACGTCTGAGTCTGGATTTGAACCCAGGTAGTCTGGCTTCAGGTTCTTGGTGCCTTGAGGTGCTTATGCTCTCGTGAGTTGGTGCGGATGAAAGAGAAGAAAATAGGCCATCAGCAACAAATGCATTTGCCAGGGGTAGGGAGTCGCTCAGTAGTAGTTGGTTGGGTAGCATACCTGAGGGCCTGGGCTTGATCTCCAGTGCTCCAAACAAACAGAAAGTCTGCACTGACCAGTTGGAAGGCTGTTTGGACAACTACTGGGCATTTTGTCACAGGTGATGGGCTGCTAATCAGTGTTCATCGCTCATCTTTTTTTAACTTTTAAAAACTTCGGGCTGGGGATTTAGCTCAGCAGCACAGTGCTTGACTGGCAAGCATGAGGTTGTGAGCTCGATTCCTGGTACTGGAAAAAAAAACAACAAAAAAAAATTTATAAGTACATGTTTGCAGTACATGCAGTTTACAATCATCTTGGGGAGTTAGTACATTTTCATTTTCTTTTGTCTCTCTCTTCGTTCTATCCTCCCACTGTGGCAGCTTGAAAAATGGTCCCCCAAATATGTTCACCTCCTAATTGCCAGAACTTGTGAATGTTGTTTTGCAAAAAGGTCTTTTATGTTTAAGTAAGCATAAAATTTTGAGCTTGAGAAGATCATCCCAGCTTATTCCAGTAGGCTCTAAGTGCATCAAAAGTGAGTTAGTAAAAGAAAGGCTCAGGGTCATTAGAAGACACATTGAGAAGTGATGAGAAGATGGGGCAGAGTGGAGGGTGGCCACAAGCCAAGGTATGCTGACAGTTACCCAAATTGGAGGAAGCAAAGAACAGATTGGTCCCCAGAGTGTCCTGAGGGGAGTGGTGCTCTGTTAATGCCTTGATTTAGGGCTTTGCAAATTGTGAGAAAAGAAATTTCTGTTGTACTAAGTTACCATGTTTGTGGTAATTCACCACTGCAGTCACAGGAACTAATATAGCCCCCTTTCTTTTCACCCCTTTTCCCAATCTTTCTCTTCCAGGAAGAAGCAAGGTGTGTAGAAAGGGAAGTTGTCTGATTCAAGCTTCAGGGCATTGCCACCCTGGAGGACTTCCGTCTTCTCAGGGAAGCAGCTGCATCATCTAAAGAGCCCTGTGACAATTAAACTGGATTGCCAGCTTGATTGGCTTGAGAGCCTTGTCAGAGATTAGTAAAGCACAGCTCTGGGTGTGTCTGGGTCAGGAAGCATGACCTTGGAGACGATGTCTGGTCCCCATCCCTTCCTCTTTGGCTCTGCTTCCCAGCTGCCATGAATCGAGCAGCTTTCCTTCACCACACTCCTCTGCCATGATGCTGCTGCCTTGGAGCCAGACAACCAGGGACTGACTCCTCCAAAACCATTAGCAACAACAAACCCTCCTTCCTTTAAGTTGTATATGTCAGTGTTTGACTCCAGCAACAAAAAGCAAATACAGTTACTTTCTGCTCTTTGCCAAGCCCTCCTCTCCTTATCCAGTGTCACCAGAAATGACCTGACCACACTTAGGGAGAGCACAGAGCCTCTCACTTACAAAAGGGCCTTGGGTTCCAGGGAAGGGCTACGACTTGCCAAATGCCACCTCGTGAATTAGTGACAGTTCTAGGGCAAAGACAGCTTTATCCTGCCTTCTAGTACTACCACAGCTTCTCCCGCTTTGTGTCTTCCCAGTGGCTCCTGGCACAGAGCTGGGCACACTATAGGCCTTTGGTTTCTTACCTACTGTAGCAATATGGGATGACAGTGAATAGCGTGGTGTTATGGTTTAGTTCTAAAATGCTCCCCCAAATTATCATGTGTGTGGAAAGTGATCGGGTCATGGGGACATTATTCACATGGGTGGATTCATCCCTTGATGAGCGCAGTAGCTGACAGTGCCCATAGGAGTTGGGGGCTGGAGTGGGTCTCTGGGACCGTGACCTGGAAGACCGTGTTCTCACACCTGGTTTCTCTCTCTCTCTGCTCCCTGCCCCCGTGAGTGGAGCACCTTTCGCTCCACCCTGCCTCTCTGCCATCCTGTGTCTGCCTGGGAGCCTGCTGACTGGGGACTCAAACCATGAGCCAAAATAAACCTCACACCTTTGCATTAGAGGTGTTAGTGATTGCGTCCAGTGACGGGAAAGTGATTAACATACACCGGCTTTGAAAACTCATTAACCCGTCACTGCATCCTGGCCCTGCCGCATACACGCTATGC